AGAAGCAGATACGTGCGTGGATGCAGAGATAGAAGCAGATACGTGCGTTGATGCAGAGATAGAAGCAGATACGTGTGTTGATGCAGAGATAGAAGCAGATACGTGGGTTGATAAAGAGATAGAAGCAGATACGTGTGTTTATGTAGAGATAAAAGCTGATACGCGCGTTGATGAAGAGATAGAAGGAGATACGTGTGTTGATACAGAAATAGAAGCAGATACGTATGTGGATACAGAGATAGAAGCAGATACGTGCGTTGATGCAGATATAGAAGTAGATACGTGCGTTGATGCAGAGATTGAATCAGATACGTGTGTTGATGAAGAGATAGAAAGAGATACGTGTGTTGATGTAGAGATAGAAGCAGATACGTGTGTTCATGCAGAGATAGAAGGAGATACGTGTGTTGATACAGAGATAGAAGCAGATACGTGGGTTGATGAAGAGATAGAAGCAGATACGTGGGTTGATAAAGAGATAGAAGCAGATACGTGTGTTGATGAAGATATAGAAGCAGATACGTGCGTTGGTGCAGAGATAGAAGCAAATACGTGGGTTGATGAAGAGATAGAAGCAGATACGTGCGTTGGTGCAGAGATAAAAGCAGATACGTGCGTTGATGCAGATATAAAAGCAGATACGTGCATTGATGCAGAGATAGAAGCAGATACGTGTGTCGATGCAGAGATAGAAGCAGATACGTGCGTTGAAGGAGAGATAGAAGCAGATACGTGTGTTGATGCAGAGCTAGTAGCAGATACATGCGTTGATGAAGAGATAGTTGTAGATACGTATGTGGATGAGCAGATAGAAGCAGATACGCGCGTGGATGCAGAGATAGAATCAGATACGTGCGTTGATGCAGAGGTAGAAGCAAATACGTGCGTTGATGCAGAAAGACAAGCAGATGAGTATGTGGATGCAAACGTAGTAGCAAATGCGCGCATGCACGCAGATATAGAAGATACGCACATAGAGGCTTCGGAGGCTGAAGGAAATATTCAACATTCAGAGAATGCTCCTGTACTCGGATGCAAAGAGAACGGATACGTGCATCAGGGCGTCGGTGACGGGGTTTCGGAGAATCTGAGAATGCTTGGCTTAGGAATCGATGGTGTTGAAGCCACACAGATATCACTTGCTGCTATGAAAGACGGTCCTCACCGAAACGAAACCCGAACAGAATATGAGGATGAAAACCAAAGGCAAGACCAAGACCACGACCACAACAAAGACCAAGACGACGACCAAGACCAAGACCACAACAAAGACGAAGACGACGATCACAACAAATACCAAGATGACGATCACAACAAAGACCAAGACGACGACCAAGACCAAGACCAAAACAAAGACCAAGATGACGACCAAGACCAAAACCAAGACGACGACCAAGACCAAAACCAAGACGACGACCAAGACCAAGACTACGACGGCGACCAAGACCACGACGATGACCAAGACCAAGACCACGACCACAACAAACACCAAGACCACGATTACAACCACGACCACGACCAAGGCCACGACAAAGACCAAGACCAAGACGACGACCAAGACCAAGACCAAAACAAAGACCAAGATGACGACCAAGACCACGATTACGACCACGACCACGACCACGACCAAGACCAAGACCACGACCAAGACCACGACCAAGACCACGACAAAGACCACGATCACGATTACAACCACGACCAAGACCACGACAAAGACCACGACAAAGACTACGACAAAGACCACGACAAAGACTACGACAAAGACTACGACAAAGACCACGACGACCATGACTACGACAAAGACCACGACGACCATGACTACGACCAAGACCACGACCATGACCACGACCAAGACCACGACCAAGACCACGACTACGACCATGACCGTTTGACTAGCGAAGTCAAGTTTCCATCGAAGCCTGAGGCTGTCCAGCATCTCCCAGCCTCCTCAAACTTTGATACAGAAGGAGCAAAATACGATAGCGACAACGCATGTAAAATCACCGATGGTGTGAGCGCCGTGGGAAAGGAGGAGGCACGTGTTGAGGCGGGCGCCTGCGTTCATGATACCACTGACGTTGAAGTTGTCCGCTTGCCGGCGTGCGTCTCTTTGAGTGGCGCTACCATGACGTCTGACTGTAACTCCGAACCCGGCGAAGAGACATTTGAGCGTCAGTATCGATTATCAAAACCTATCACTGATCGGCTGATTGATAACGAAGAATCGTCTTACCCTCTGGAAGTTATCCTGGATAAACGGGCTGAAGGTATGCAGGGAGTGAGAGCGTTACTACTCCTGCTTTCTCTACTTCATCGCCTGCTATCGTCGGGAAGGTCGGGCAAGCTAAACTCGAGCGTGGTTTATATTCCTTTTGCAAAAAGGAGAGATGGGTTGTCTGGAAATATACGGGAAGCACAGATCGTAGATGCAGGGGTTGAAGGAGAATTGAATCTAATGCGACAGTAATACGAATGAAGTTTGACAGTATTTGCTGGGTTGAACGCGATTTTGACAAAAATATTATAATTACTTTCTAGTTTCACCGATTTAACGAATTCGCGAAATATTTTCTTTTGTTCTGTCTCTTTCTCCCGCTCTGGCTGCCTTTTTACTACGTCGCCAAATATGCGTATTGCTACTTATACCGATCAGCTGTTATGCTTACGGAGCTGTGTTCAGCGTCATCTATATAGAAGGGACACCTATCTATAGAGAATGATTTTGACGTCCCACTTGAGTAAATACATCTTAGTTAATAGTTTATCTAGGGATAGCTAGCACATTCTTCAGACTCAGATATGTTGAGTAAGTCAATAAGCTTTATACGTAAAGATATATACACGTAACGAAATGGGCCACGCCAACTTGTAGTGTATTGTCGATGGAAGCGTATGTGTGTGGTGTGTGGTGTGTGGTGTGTGTGTGTGTGTGTGTGTGTGTGTGTGTGTGTGTGTGTGTGTGTGTGTGTGTGTATGTCTGTGTGTGAAAGAGAGTGTGTGCCTGTGTATGCGCGCATGGGTGCGTACGTGGGCGTGCGGAGAAAGAGAGCGCGAGCAAGAGAGAAGGTGGAAAAGAGAGACAGCTAATTTATCAGGCATCATCGCTGACTATTAAATGATGTTCGCAGCTCGCCTAAACAGAAGCCAGGACAACGGCATCCTTGCCGCACAGGGTAGAGACCCCGCTACCGCCAGCAGAGACCCGCGTGCGAGGATATCGCCAACACCATCGCCACTCCCTCAGCGCCGCCTGACACCCGGCACGTCGAACCAGGCGTCTGCGAACACCACACCCATGTCGACACCGTCCGTGTCCCCGTATCCGTCGCCTTGTCCGTCGCCGCAGCCGCCGCAACGACGTAAACAGAACGAGCCGACGCGACCGCGCGCCTCCGTGCCACAGATATGTGTCACTGACTGTACGTTTGAGCGAATGGTGAGTCAGTCGTAACGTCACAGAGGCCGGTGAGCGCTGGGGGAGAGACTGGGGGAGCTAACGGACTAGCAGGCGGTTTCTTCCTACACACGGGTGCAACTCTAGATTTATTTACGTCTATATTTTCGTTTACAAATATATATTTGTTTCTGGAAGGTATATGCCATTAACTTATTTACTGGTTATATAAGTTCGTTACACTTCAATACTGTTTTAAACTTAAATAAATAAATAATTTTAAACTTTAATAATTATTAATATTTAATATTAATGTTCCATTTAAATGGTGATTTTGCTATCTTTTGATATATAGGGGAAAGTCCACAGCTCGCGCGCATACGAATTGGATCTGAATGTTTTCTTAAACTCATCGACTTACGCTGATATATCGCAAAGTGGTTCGTCAAATATATAAGTAAACAATCAGTTAACTTTTTAAAATAATTAGTCAACCAGTTCAAGTGAGGTAACAGAGTACAACTCATACGCGCGTAGAGTAGTGCGATTGTTTAACCCTTGCTATCGTAGGGAGATATGCCCGATAACCAGATCCCACAGTCACACGGCGGCGAAAATCTGCCATATGACGATGACGACGGCGACGGCTACGATTACGACGAGGATTTCTCAGACGATGACATCGATATTATGGTGGCGAAACACAGGGAAGTCTCGGATGGACGACCGGGCTATGGCAGGAAGCAGTCGACTATGGGCGGATCTACGGTAGTAGCTATATCATAGTTCTCTCACACACACGCGCGCGCACGCACACACGCGCACGCGCACACGCACACGCGCATACACGCGCATACACGCGCACACACGCGCACGCACGCGCACGCACACGCACATGCAAACACACACACACACACACACACGCACACACACACACACACACACACACACACACACACACGCGCGCGCGCACACGCACACGCACACACACACACACACACACACACACACACACACACACACACACGCGCGCGCGCACACGCGCACGCACACACACACACACACACACACACACACACACACACACACACACGCGCGCGCGCACACGCGCACGCACACACACACACACACACACA